TTTTCTCTGGGGGCCTTTCTGCATCTTTTGTTGTTGATGAAGGGTAAATTTGTTGATTCTTGGTTTTGTGATTGCTTTTGGTTTTATCTCTCTAGTTTTGGGGGGCTGTTTGTATGGTTTCATAGCTAGTGTTTGCTTTGTAAGGATTAAAAGTGAGTGTAGAATCAATCTCCTGAGGCTGAGGGTGTTGATTTAAGGTGCCTTGTGATGTATAAAGGACCCATCCTTATTTGATTGCTTTGGTGCTGCAATTTATTGTACATTTTTTTTTTTTTTTAATTTATCTTAGGGTCTCCAACTTTATACTTTCATACAAAATTCAAATTTATGCCCAAATATATATGCAATTAAGGAGGAAAGAGCTACCTGCCTGATTTAGTGATTATTGATATCTGGGCCACACTCACACCATTTAATATTGTTTGCCATGGAAATAATTTTATTTTTTCAATTGTTGAATGATTATACCATACTTTTCTTTATGAGGTTTTTCCATTATTGGGGGTGTTTTGTAGCTTCAAAAGGGTAAAAAAATCTCCACTATTTCATTCTGTTCATGTAATGCAAAATAACTTTTCCTCTACATAACAACCAAAATAATAGAAAAGTAAAAATTACACTTTACCTACCTAACTATTCGAAAATTTTACCTACAAAACTTTTTTTTAACACTTTGCCCACCTAATTTTGATTTTTTGTACACTTTGCCATTTCCGATCACCGCCAGCCTCATAAACCAATACGTGGCTTTTGTGCCTTATTGCCACGTGTCACCGGCAGTGGCCGAAAATGACAAAGTGTACAAAAAATCAAAGTTGGGCAGACAAAGTGCAAAAAAAAAAGTTTTGTAGGCAAAGTATAAATTTCCAGATAGTTAGGTAGGCAAAATGTATTTATTTCAATAGAAAAAGATCAATTCAAGGTACACAGGACAATCTTCTCCTCCATCACCATAAAAAAAATGCAATACTAGCTCATCATATAAAAAAGGTGGAAAAAAAGAAAGCACTAAAGAAAAAAGGGACTTTTTTTTCCTTTTGACAAAATCATTCACCAGTCAATTCCATGAAAAAGGGAACCCTCTGTTAAACCTTTGCTCAGCTGAGATAAAAAGTTCAGATTTTTGCTATATCAATTGTTTCAATCATAAAATAAAGATGCAGAAACAAAATACCAGTGGAATAATGGATTGTAAAGTGACTCAACATAATTACTGTGACCCTTTTTACATAGCCATTTCAGTGGGGCGCTTGTAACGGCTGTTTGGTGTAGCGAAAAAGAGAACAAACTTTGACTGAACAAAAGGGAAAGCTACGTCAAACCAAGCAAAACCGTGCGTGCAAAAAGATACTACTTTCCATCTTCCAATTGCATGGTGTGCATGCAAAAGCAGTTGATTAGGCCAAGTTCCACCCCGGAAGGGAAAACTTGTGATTGTGCTCGGAGGAAAATAGACGAGTCAAATATGGGCCAACCTCCCGAGGAATAGATGAAATGTAGCTTGTTTTGTTTACCTTTGATTGTGATTAGGAATCCACAGTCTTAATGAGAAAAGCTGTTTGGAGTGCTGATTCCTTGCTTTGCAGATATCTGTTTTCCTCAATTATGTCGGTTGTTAAACTGAGAAGTACTGGGCGCATAGGGTCGTAAATAGAATATTCCCTAACTCGCGCGACCCATTTTGCTGATTCCCAGACCCCAAACCTGAAGAAAAAAAAAAATAAAAAATAAAAGTTAGCAACTGTAAATGCAGAGTACATAATTAATATTATTAAAGACAAATTAGTTTTAATTACATAAATTTTCGAAAAATGCAAGTCCATATTTGAACTTTGAGATCGTATACTTGATTTCTTCAGCCTCCTTGGTTATTTTATTTATTTATTTTTTTTTTTCTTAATTTCATACTTAGAGCCTAAACAAACATCAGATCGAATTACCTTGTACTGAAAGATGATGTCACCAAAATGGCAGGATACAGTGCGTCTTTTTGGATATTATCGTACGGAGAATATTCACGTATAGCCCGAAAATCTTCAATGTCCCCAGGGTATCCAAACTCCTCATAGTCTTCGGGTGTTAGTGGTAAAATCGGGAGCAGAAGGGTATTAGTTGGATCTAAAAATGGTACCTAAACACGAATTGGAGAGAATTTTAACAAAATGAGATGATGCCCAAATTCTTGCTGTAGTGGAGAAAATGACTAGAAAATAAGGGTAGCTGTGGTAGCGAATGCTAGTAAATTAAGATTTTATAATCACTCCACATTTTCAGGAGACACTCTAAATATTAAAGATTAGCATAAACTGAATATCAAGTGGAGCAAACATATAACATAAGCTGTTGCAAAAGTTGATCCACCTCCAAAATAGCAGCCCGAAATAAATCTGGACAAAAGTTAATAGCTGAAGCAACCAACAATCCTCCGGCACTGTATCCCCAGCCGGCTAGTTTGCTTTCTTGCACAACTCCTTTTTCAGTTAGAAACTTCGCACACGATATATAATCCTTGACAGAATTGAGCTTCATTGTTCTCCTACCATCATGATGCCACGTCTTACCTCGACCACCACCACCTCTGGAAATTAATAACGTGGAACTCAGATAACAAAACTAAACTAATTGATTAAAGAAAAATGTCACCCAATCTATTTTTTTTTTTTTTCTTGGAAAAATTCAGTAAGAAAAAAATTAGACTCAGATACACAATACTAAACATATCTATTGATATAAGAAAAACTGAAGTCATTGTTTGACATATTACTCAAAAGGAAATCCTCATCTTTTTTTCTGACAAGGGTCATTTATTTTTATTCTGCATAATGATGCCAGTTGGTTTAAGAAAAAATAGAAAGTATTTCACAAGATTGTTCTTCTGTACAATTGACATGACATATATCCATCAATAAGAACAAAAGATGCACAACAAACCTAACATCAGCATAAGCAATGATCCATCCACGATCAAGAAGGCTTTTCAGCTCGTTTCTCCACCGTTTATCGAGAATCTCACCATAAGCTCCATGTCCATGAAGTAGTCCAGGATTTTCACCATTTGTCTTCCGACGGCGTGAATATACTATGGTCAGAGGAACCAAAACCCCGTCATGTGAAGGGACATTATATTCTTCACAAGCGTAATACTCAGACAGGTCATTCCATGATCTATCATCTCCAGGACTACTGTCCGAGAATTTTCCGGGTGTAGACGACTTCTGACAGCTGCTCACGGGAGATGACGATCCATACAAAATTCGCGTTCTTTCATAAAACAAATTTTGCTGTTGGACGATGGTCCATTTTCCATTCAATAAATCATAGTCGACTACTGCATCAGGCATCTAGGGAGAGTAAATCAGAATAAAATGCATCTGTAAGTATTATTATGAGTTAAATATGATAGTGTACGTCCAATATTCTTATATGAAGACAAAATCATTACCCCTAGTCATAAGTCTTTCCAGACCAGATTATTTTATGAAGTTATGATACCAGAGACATAAGTAAAAAAATTTCGAACAAATTTTAAACAATCTTTTTAACTCATTGTCCAGTCGAGGGGCAAGGATTAATAAGATTTCATTTAGAAAGGAATTCAGATATTGTGAAAAAAAAAAAAGAAAATGGCATTACAATGAGGCCATAACTAACTGAAATTTCAAAGTAAGATTTGATCATCTAGAGATTGTGTAAAAACTTTCAGGGTTATCTAGTGTTTCCCAAAATAACAATAATAACATAATAAAAGGCAATAAGATGATACTGAAGTATTCAACAAGAAAAACCTGGATTTTTCTTCCCTAGAAGCAGCCTACATTTCACGCGGACACGAAGTCTGTTATTTAGTGAAGTTGAAGTGGAGAAAGACTGATTTAGTAGAGGAGCTTTGATAAGCTTTCATTGTTGTATCCTTGATTACATTTTTCAGTCGAGTCTAACCAGGTTTTTGGAAGAACTGGATTCCAAGACCGTGAACCAATATGCTTAATACATTAAATTCTAAAATAGATATACAACATAAAGTACACAGATCTTGTGTTTTTAAACATGTCATCTAACTTCTGAAATAAAGTTATTCAACATACTCAACTCGAAAACTTACACAAGTCACAACCCAGGAAATGAATGTAGAAGAATAGCGAACTGGAACTAGATGCAAAAGTTCATCTACATACCACAGGTGAGATTATTGTAAAGCGCATGGTCGAAGAATAGAAATCATAATTTGCTCCTGGCAGTATCTGGGACACATGATCTGGCAAAGGCAAACTTTGTGGATTGAACTCATTGAGATGAGCTCCTGCCTGCAAAAAATTATCCTTAGAAACACAACATAGTGTTACGGACCTTTATGCAACTGATAGATCAATAATAAAAGCAAATACTCCATATGGTAAAGCACAATATATTTAGCAGAAAATGTACAGAAGGAAAGACATCAACTGGACTCCATATTACTCGACATGTACTCAAACATTCCGAAGCTGCATTACCTTGTCAATACTTAGAGGTAAAGAAATTGAATACAGCCCATATTTTTTATCATCCCTTGTAACAAGTAACAAGTGAGAATTACAGAAGTCGACGTCTTCAATATTCAACTGTTGGTCAATGGCAAAAATATTCTGCAAAATATCACGCGAAAGGAATGATGGTCAAGACTGAGAGATCTAAGATATCCATAAAGTCTAATCATGCTTGATTACTGATTAATTACAGAAACGCGCTAACCTCCCAATTTCTTGGATTATAATGGGAAGAAACAGGACAACGTAGAAGATAATGGTGATCAACAGGTTGGCCTTGATAAGCAGCATTTGTAAAGAGGTATAAGTATCCTTGATGGTGCTCAATAATGCAATGGGCATTAGGCTCACATTCCCAGGCAAGCGTCATTCCAGACAAAGGATCCGCTGCATTTATCAGAAATACCTAATCGTGGGTCATATACATAAATCTACAGTTGAATAACAGCCGATACTTCAAAAGAGATCAGCATTCTTAAGCATACCTTGGAATATTGAGTTGAAAATACATTTACGGTCAGAAAATGAAAGTCTTTAGTATGCCTCACATTTATATGAACATTTTCATGAGGTTCTTCCAAAAGCAATACATCCTCATTTTTTGAACCAAGTATGCTACAATAGAGCCTGAAAAAAAAAAAAAAAATCAAATTAATTTCGAGGGGCAAGACTAGCATTACAAAAAATGCAGTCAACAAGATCAAACCTAAATGGCCTCTTTTTATCATTAGTGACTACATAAAGCAATGCTTTCCCATCTTTATCCCAAGCCATACTGGAAACCCTGTCAGCTTGGGGCTTACTACATAGGGATCCGAAGTTCAAGTCTCTAACGGATAACTTGAAGTAATCATTATCCTTTTCATACATGGTGTATGCAAGATACCGATGGTCAGGTGATATTTCAGACAATTCTTCATAGGCATAACCTATTTACATACATTTAGAGAAAGTGATGTCAACTGGTAATAGTATATATATATAACACTATAAAATACAATCAAGGAATGAAAAAGATACCCCCAAATCTTTCAGCTTCTTGATTGTAATCTATCAGCTTTTGCTCAATTTTCCTTCCGGATGTAAAATCAAAACCACCTGCCGGTGATTTATTAGAAATAAACTCTTCATTTAAGCTTGCTAATCTCCGACACAATACTGGATATTGCTTGCCTTCTTCCACTCGCCTATAATACAACCTGCATAAAACCCAAGACAAAAATCCAGGACCAGCTTACAGTAAATATAATGGCGCAGCTTATCCATTCAAACACAAAACTTGAAAATGTAGTATAGCAGCAAGGTAGCGGACAATCCAAGAATGTCGAAAATTCAGAAGCTTCGTAAGTCAAATGCTGACCCAAGGATGCTCAAACAGCCATCAAACAAGACTTCTGGTTTTCTAACATTACTGCATAAAGCAGTTCAGTTTACAGAGAATACATATATGTGTATATCATATAACATCTAATCCCCCTGTCAACAGAGATTTCTCACTATCATAATTTCAGAAAAAATAATAAATTAGCTCCCTTCCTGCATTACTATTCAGGAATAGGATTCTTCATAACAGATTGATTTCATGAATCACAACCTAAGTAATGACTATTAGCTATTCCCGAATAATTGTTTGAAATAATCACACGAACATCTAATTACATCACAGGAGAAAGAACTGAAAATTACCAAGGACCCCAGCGGACGGGAGGGGTGGAGAGGTCGGCGGCGAGGCGGGAGGCAATCTCCGATTGGAGCTTGGATTGGAGACGCTCGGTGTCGGACATGACGGCCTCGGTGTACTTCTCCTCCTGCTCCATGTACACGTCCATGTGCCGCATCGCCACCTTGTCCTTCAGCTGCGACATCCAGATGTACTCGTCCTCCCACGAATCGCCGTGAAGGCAGAAGCTCTCCGGCTTTTTGGGGGGTCTCGGCGGAGACGGCGGGGGTGGAGGCGGCTGGGGCTTGTAATTGGCTCGTTGGAGGACGGCATGGCGGTGGAGGAAGGGGCGGCGGACGGCGGTGAGCAGGTGACGCATGGTGATTTGTGATCGGGAAAGTTTACATTGACGACGGATTTTCTTTTGGGAGGGTAATAATGAAAAATATGTATAAAATATCCAAAACGACATTTATTTTGTTAATAGTTGATAATGTCAAAATGACATTTAAAATGAATAGGAGGTAGTATTAAAGTTATTTTTCAAATTTAAATGTTGGACTAAACAAATATATTAAAATTATTTTTTAAAATTAAATGTTGGCCTAAATGAAGCGGGGGACACGTTATTATTGTATGGGTGCATATTAATCTTTTTGGTTTTCATATAGATTTCTTCCTTTAAATTTAAAAGTGTTCCAGCAAGATCTGATTTGAAGTTGGAAGGGCAAGAATGGATCTAAAGTTGAAAGGCCGGAGAAGACGAACAATGAATAGCGATTTTTCTTTTTTTTTTTCTTTTTTTGTTTTGGAACAGTAAAATTGAAAGTTGGAACGCGTGAGTTGCAGAGTAGTGTTCAAGTTCATATCTTAATACATTATACTAATTTATTAACGCGTGGTATTAATTTTAAATTAGTTCTGTATATTTTATAAATCTTAAGTGAAGATGAAATCTTAATGCATGGAATTGTAAACTGTAGAAATTTTATGTTTTAGCAAATTTATTTTGTTTAAATATCAAATTTAACTATATAGTTTATTTAAAATTTAATTTGAAATTCTATTTTGCTTTTTTTTAATTCCGAGCATAAATTGTACTACCTCCTATTTTTAATATATGTCGTTTTGAGAAGTTGTACATTAATTAAGAATATTTTTTTTTGTCAATAATAACTTTATTTAATGAAGATAGAGATGAATGTTTTGAGAAAAAGTGAAGAGTGAATATGAAAAGGCGTGATGTATTTATTACCTAAATGAGGGCAATAATGGAAAAATATGTACAAAAAAATCCAATACGACATTTATTTGATTAATAATTGATAAAGCTAGAATGACATTAAAAAAAAAAAAGGAGAAAGTACAATACAACTAGAAATCTTGCTACAATTTTTTTCAACCACCTAACCATTGTACATTAATGTGGTAATTAAAATAAGAATAATGCTCCCCTACCCACGGTGGACACATTTTAATATGCCCACAGCTTATATGGCATGCACATATTGGTGATGTTACTATGTTAAAAAAAAATACATCACTAATGTGTGCATGCCATATAAGCGGTGAGCATATTAACATGTCCGCACTGTGAGTAGGGGAACATTATTGATTAAAATAAACTAAAAGAAAAATTTGAAAAATTCACTAACCATTGAAACAAAATCCAGTTCACAAGTCAAAACTAATTAATGATGATTGTCATTTATTTTGAATAGATGTGCCAACCTACCCCAATGAATCACCTTAATGTCATTTATTCACTAACCTTTTTTTCTTTCTCTTTTTTTTTTTTTTTTTTGAAAAAATTATTGGGAAAATCTAGAAATAGCAATGGTGGTAAGTGAAGTGTCCTACTCCTACATACCACAATTATTGTGAAAGAGATGTAAGGATAAAATTAAAACTTATATTTTGGCTATATTTGGTAGACAAATAAATTAGCTTATAGTTTATTCGGTTAGCTTATAAACTTCTTGTATTTAAATAAGTTTCGTTTGGTAGTACGACCTTATTTAAGAAGCTCGAGCTTATTTCATAAGCTTTTTTAGGTAGTTTTTCAAATAAGCACGTTGATATTTTTATTACAGCTAGCTTCTCAGCTAATTTTACCAAACACTTTTATCATATAAATTAACTTTTCAACTATAAATCATAAACTATAAGCTAAAAAATTATGATAAAATATATGTTAGTTTATCAACTATCAATTAATTTTACCAAACACAAAATTTATCTTTATGTCTACTCCCACCAAACAAATGGTAGGTCAAAATAATCACCAACACTATCTAAAAGTTAATCTTACACAACAAACAATGGTCGGCCAACCTAATCTCAACAGTACAATTTTGCATTTCAAACTAAAATTAAATCAACCTAAAACATAAAATTAATTCAATCTCATTTAAGAAAAAGATTTCTCAAGTAAAGTGTTTAAAAATTCAAAATGAATATGTTTAATCCTGCCTGGCCGATAGGCTGCAGATTGCGAGTTAGCCACATTATTTTTAATAGAAAAATGATACGATCCCGTTATAGAATCATTTCGTCGAGATTTGTAATCGTCAAATTATCGTGTAACTGTCAAAAATAGTTAATCCAACATTTAAAAATCTCGACGGAATAGTTTTGTTACCGACTTACTATTTTAATATCTTGTTGAAAACAATAAAATCAGTACACGAAGGTCGAAAATATCATATGACCAGTCAAAATCTCTGACCGCTTCGAAAAGAAACAATCAGATTTCTGTCCTTTTTTTTTTTGTTTATTTCAAAACGCCAAAAATTAAATCCAAGAGATAATAAATGGCCAACTCGGTCGGTGGCTTCTGCCAAAAACTCAAAAGTAACTACTGTATAATACGGATATTTGCGGTTCTGTTTATATAATACGGATATTTTGCGGTTTTGTTTACAGAATCATTCCGTCAGATTTTTAATTTTTAGATAAATTATTCACAACAGTTACATGATGATCTAATTATTATAATCCCGACGAAATAGTTTCGTAACGGAATTGTAACATTTCCCTAGACCTAAAAGTAACTACTATATAATATGGATATCTTCCGGTTCAGTTTACGGAATCATTCCGTCGGAGTTTTAATCTTTAGATAAATTATTCACGATGGTACATGATAATATAATTATTATAATCTCGACGAAATAGTTTCGTAACAGACTGTAATATTTCCCTATATAATAGCAAATTTTTTAGTCAAAACAAATTTATTTAACTCATTAGTTACAAATTGCATTCCCAAGTTACACATTTTCTCAAATAGGAGCGAAAGAAAAAAATAGGATACACTCCAAATTATGAACAAAAAATATTCATTCCCAATGGCTTCCTTCTACAGGATAATGTGCAATCATGATTTCAATTCACAGCTTGTAAGCCCAATTTAAATTCCTTCAATTTATTTTTTTTTTCCTTTCAATATTTCATTTTTCAACTTATGAATATCATGCAAAACTTGTCCGAAAACTATTGCATGCAATATTACACCTTGATTATTAACTACTAACATCTTGCAATTGTGTGTATATATATATAGAGACTGCCGCCGCAGTTTGTGAAGGATCACGACGAAGACTTGTCGGAAAAAGTCGAGCTCTTTACCGAATCGGGAGACTCGTGGACCGTGAAAATCGAACGAATCGGGCCGGACCGTTATTTCACGGATGGATGGTCCAGATTCGCCGAGGATTATAATCTGAAGTCCATGGAATTTCTGGTCTTCCGTTTGACCGGAAGATCTAAGTTTGAGGTTTTGGTGTATGATATAAGTGGCTGTCACAAGGAGCTGCATTTTCTAGGTTCAGAGTTTTATTTATTTATTTATTTATTTTTTTATTTTGTGTGGAAAATTTATAATTTAATTAACCTCAATAATAATGTTGCATGTAATGAAATGAATGTAGATGATCACGAGGATGATTACGAGACTGATGATCAATCGGGTTTTTGTGGTGAGGGGCAAAATTGGAAGTTTGTCAAGAAATTGACTCGAGAACACACATCCGAATTGGTAAATTTTTTGTCCTTTACAATAATAATGTTAATGATAGTGATATTTATAGTATTGTTATGGAGCTATCGAATGTTTATAAAGTCATCTATAATTATTCGTAAATTGTATATTGACATGTGTGGTCAAATTAGTACACTTGATACACGTGTCAATACATTCATCCACCGGCTTCATATACTTTATGTTGATTTTGAGGGTAATATATTTGAAATTAACCACCCAAAATGAATCGAAAAAATAAATTTGTATTTCCTTGGGCACTCTGTAACATTAATTAGGAAATTCCAAGAGATTTCGCGGAGGGATGTGGAATCGCGACAAACAGGAAACTGAAGCTGCGGATGGGGAAGAAAGGGAGAAAATGGTCGATTCACTTGACGGCTAAAAAACACGGCGCATTGGCGTTGCGTTGGGGTTGGAATGAATTCTTGACGGGCAATAACATTTTCACCAAAAGCACGATTTCGTTTACATACGTCGGCGGCCCAAGCAATGTGATAGAAGCCGAAGTGGTGAAAAACGGAGGTAGCAATGGTAAGGGCCAATTGTTCGGGCCCCCTAAGAGATTTAAGGGAAGGCCTCCGAAATTCAAGGCCTAAATTCAAGAATCGTGTTTTTACTTTTTTTTCTGCATTAGCGAAGTTTGGTAAGAATCGTGTTTTTTACTGTTTTTCTTTCTGCATTAGCGTAGTTTGGTAAGAATCGTGCTTTTGGAAGTTCGGAGTTGTCTACATTGGTGTTCTCTTATTGACATGCATTCAATAACAATCGATGCTCATTATTCCGTAAATGCGTGCTGATTATATACGTTGAATCTCTTAGACTATGTGTTCCATAACATTAGCGTAGTTTGGTAAGAATCGTGCTTTTGGAAGTTCGGAGTTGTCTATGTTGTTGTTCCATAACATTTGTTCGTCCCGCCTTTTTTTTGTAGTTGCATGTTGAGTTGAATATTTGCCATCAGTTTGGGAAAATTTTAGGGGATGTATGAGATATATAAATAGTTATGTCACCTAATAGCTAAATTATACATTTATGAGGGATGCATGGGAAATTTTACATTTGTGAGGGATGTATGAGTAAATAAATATGGATGCCTTGCCTTGGTGACTCCGCCTGGCGCCTATTAGCTAAATTTTACATTTAATTATGATATATAAAGATTTATACCAATGATTAAAATATAATATCACTCCGTACGTAATATTGCAGATCAGTGATTGGTTGGTATAATCTTCCCATATAATTCTCGAATGCTCTCAGCCTATATAGCTGATTCTGGTGCTTTGTAATCATACTTGGTGAATAATCATGCTTCGTAATTAAGTTTGAATAAATAATATTGATATATTAATAATTAATAATCTAGGTTTGGACATTCCATAAATATTATTTATCTAACTTAGGTATTTTAATATCACTTGTTTAATTATTTATAATTTTATATAGTGAGACACTTATACTAATATATCTCTTATTTTGGTTTATTTCCTTCAATTAGCTATTAAATTGTAAATGTATTTTAAAAGTTGATAACTTTTGTATTTTTTATCGGTTTTACATATATTATATATCAAATTAATCATCTTTTGATGATTTTCGATTTGACATCCATATTGTATATATGAAATAAATAAATTATATTTATCTTTATAATAATAAAAAATAATAATATTTATTAAAATTTAATAGAAAAATAAAATTATTTATCAACTGATATATTTATTTTTAATGTAATAATATGTTGTAAGTTAAAAAATTATTATAATATGACACAGATAAGTCGCACAAATAAAAAATGCCATACTAAATATATAATAATATATATATTTTTGTAAAAGGTATTTAAAATTCCAACTATTTTTTCTCATTAATTTTAGATTTTTAAAAAAAAAATTAGCAAACACTCGTGTAATACACGAGTGTTGTACTAGTTATACATAAAAATCAAACAAATATCGGTTATAATAAATGAATGAATAAATAAACTGGTAATCATATAACTCAAACATTAAAATTTGAAATTGGTACTTTTATTTTTAATTTTATGGAAAAAATGAACCTTACTAATATAATCTTTCTTTATATATATTTGATATTAAAAATTCAAATGCACTATTATATTTACTACTACTTGGATAATAATATAGGTAAATGCTAGGCCCCATTACAAATTGTTAGATCAAGTATCCCCGACAGTTACATTATGATCTAACGGTTACAAACTCCGACAGAATAATTTTGGGAAGAGATGGAATTTGTGTGTTGACTTAAGAAAATTGCTTATTTTAATCAAGACTACAAAATCATTATTTCTTTAGGAATATATGGAAACATAATAATATAATTAAAAAGTTGCACAAAATGAAAACACACAGAACAGAAGAGAACACAAACAATGGCTCCTTCTCTGCGCCGGCGCGCCGTCAAGCCACGATCGCCAAGGTTCTTCAAGGTCATCCTCAACCATCGAGCCGAAAGGCTTGTAAGTCCGGCTCCTTTCTACTTCGCCTCATCTTTATTTATTTATTTATTTATTTTTGTGAAGTAGATTTAATGTTCTCTGTTTTGCAGAGAATCCCGAAAGCGTTCGCCGCGAAATTCGGGTCCTCCCTGCCCAATCCCGTCTTTCTCCGGGCCCCACGCGGCCCGGAATTCCGCGTCGAGCTGATCAAATCGAACGGCGAGTTATGGCTCGGAAAAGGCTGGCCCGAATTCAGACAACACTACTCGATCGAATTCGGGCACTTTCTGACGTTCAAATTCCACCATGAGTCGAAATTTCAAGTCCTCGTGTTCGATAAAACCGCCCCGGAAATCGACTATCCGTTGCACAACGGCCGATTGTCCAAATCCGAGGCGAACGGTGACGATGATGTTTCGGATGATCCAACGGCCGAGAGACTTTCTCGGACGACGAAGAAAGATGGAGAAAAAAGTTGCCTTGATAAGGAGAGGAGCTCGGCTTATCGAAGAGCGATGGCTTTCGTGTCCGACAACCCAATCCGAACGGACCATTTTGTGTCGCTCATGTATCCTTCTTACGTAGCGGCCAATGGTTATTTGGTAAGCTACAATAATGAACAAGCTATACTTTTCGGCATAAATTTTCGAGTCAACTTGTCATACTTTCTTGAAAAAAAAAAAAAAAAAAATGCATGAGTATACTAATTACATTGTTTTTAAAGTATCTCAAAGTATGTATATCTGATGAAGGAGTATGATTGTCTAATCTTTGGACTAACTGATAGCGGCTTATAGTTGAATTTCGAGCTTATAGCTGATAGCTAGCTTATAGCGTATGCCTGAAAAATTAGTTAATATGATGAAAGTATTTGGTTAAATTATAAACCAGCTAAAATAAAAATTTCAAGTGACTTATTTGAAAAGTTATCCAAAAAAGCTTATAAGATACGTTCAAGCTCTTTATAAAAGCTCGTCCTGTTAAACTAAACTTATTTATATTTATTTGAAAAGTTATCCAAAGAAACTTATAAGATACGTTCAAGCTCTTTATAAAAGCTCGTACTGTTAGACTGAACTTATTTATATACAGAAAGCTTATAAACTAACCGAATAAGCTATAAGCGAGCATATGGTGCTTATCAAACATACTATTTGTGGTCACTATTGTTGTTATTTTGTTATTTTCGTTTCTGGGGCAGGCTGTGCCGCTGGTTATCATGATATTGAACTTATGAATATCATGCAAAACTTGTCCGAAAACTATTGCATGCAAATTACACCTTTGATTAACTACTAACATCTTGCAAATAATGTATATATAATATAAATAGAAACTGCCGCGGCAGTTTGTGATGGATCACGACGAAGACTTGTCGGAAAAAGTCGAGCTCTTTACCAAATCGGGAGACTCGTGGACCGTGAAAATCGAACGAATCGGGCCGGACAGTTATTTCACGGATGGATGGTCCAAATTCGCCGAGGATTATAATCTGAAGTCCATGGAATTTCTGGTCTTCCGTTTGACCGGAAGATCTAAGTTTGAGGTTTTGGTGTATGATATAAGTGGCTGTCACAAGAAGCTGCATTTTCTTGGTTCGAGTTTTATTTATTTATTTATTTATTTATTTATTTATTTTGTGTGGAAAATTTAACTTTAATTAACCTCAATAATAATGTTGCATGTAATGAAATGAATGTAGATGATCATGAGGACGATTACGAAACTGATGATCAGTCGGGTTTTTGTGGTGAGGGGCAAAATTGGAAGTTCGTCAAGAAATTGACTCAAGAACACACATCCGAATTGGTAACTTTTTTTTTTTCCTTTACAATAATAATGATGATAATGATAATGATCATTTACAGTATTGTGATGGAGCTATCGAATGTTTATAACGTCATTCACAATTATTCATAAATTGTATATTGACACGAGCCATCAAATTAGTACTATAACCAATTCTTCCAATATGTAAAAACAAAATGAATCGAAAAAATAAATTTTGATTTAGTTGGACACTCTGTAACATTAATTAGGAAATTCCAAGAGATTTCGCGGAGGGATGTGGAATCGTGACAAACAGGAAACTGATGCTGCGGATGGGGAAGAATGGGAGAAAATGGTCGATTCACTTGACGGCTAAAAAACACGGCAAATTGGCGTTGCGTTGGGGTTGGAATGAATTCTTGACGGGCAATAACATTTTCACTAAAAGCACGATTTCCTTTACATATGTTGGCGGCCCAAGCAATGTGATAGAAGTCGAAGTGGTGAAAAACGAAGGTAGTAATGGTAAGGGCCAATTGTTCGGTCCCCCTAAGAGATTTAAGGGAAGGCCTCCGAAATTCAAGGACGCTAAGAGATTTAGGGGAAGGCCTCTGAAATTCTAAGGCCTCATTTCAAGGTAACATTTTTTACTGTTTCTCTGCATTAGGGTAGTTTGGTAAAAAATATTTTTTTACTGTTTTTTTTCTGTATTAGCTTAGTTTGGTAAGAATCATGTGTAAACAGTTTTTCTGCAGTCCGAAGTTTGGTAAGAATCGTGTTTTTTACTGTTTTTCTGCATTAGCGTAGTCGGGTAAGAATCGTGCTTTTGGAAGTTCGGAGTTGTCTATGTTGTTGTTCTCTTATCGACATGCATTCAATAACGATCGATGCTCATTATTCCGTAAATGCGTGCTGATTATATGTGTTGAATCTCTTAGACTGTGTGTTCCATAACATTTGTTCGTCTTCGCCTTTTTTTTTTGTAGTTGCATGTTGAGTTGAATATTAGCCATTGCACATTTTAATTATTGCTAAATGTAAGGTGTATATAAAGTATATACAATTACAAATAAAAGCTAAACGACTTATACATTGAAGAATACTTAATAAATAATATTTACACAGCACAAAAGGTTAACGTTTAGTTTTGGAAAATTTTAGGGGATGTATGAGATAAATAAATAGGTATAAGGTAAGCAATTTCCTTAAGTCACACACAAATTCCATCTGTTCCCGAGTATTATTATCCAAGTAGTAAATATTTTTTAATATAAAATATATATAAGAAATGATTATATTAGTAAGGTTCAATTTTTCAATAAATTCAAAATAAAAGTACCAATTTCAAATTTTAATTTTTGAGCTATATGATTACCAGTTTATTTATTATTTCATTTACTATAACCGATATTTGTTTGATTTTTATGTATAACTAGTACATTGCCCGTGTAAATGCACGGCAGCTACGAAACAAAAAAAAAAATTATTAAAAGAACATTTGCAAGGAGCTACTAAACAAAAAAAATTATTAAAAGAACATTAGCAATTCATATGCATAACGATTAAATATTATTGAACACTTTCTTATATACAACGTTCTTCGTCTTTGAGGTATCTTTATCATCATAATTTAGTATTTTCAATTATTTTTCATTTGTAACTCGTGAAACATCGACATAAAGTTGGCAATGCAAAATACAGATTTCTTCACGTATAATATTCATATAAATTACTCCTCAATAACTAAAATATATATTTTTTTAATATGCATAAGATATAATTACCGATTCATGCAATAAATTCAGAGTTTTTCAAGTATAACATTCATATAAATTAATCTCCAATAACTAAAATATATATTTTATGTTTTATATGCATATGATATATTCACCGATCAATAATGAGTCATTACAAAAAGAGTCTTTAGCCAAATCGGTAAAATTTTAGAAGTTATACATAAACTTCGAGAAATTTTCATGTTGAAGTTCACCTTAAAATATATTTTGAATCTTGTTGTAGTAGTTTTATATCTGTCGTCATTTGATGCTACAATTATAAAGTATGGATACCAATGACTCCAAAACGTTTGAACAGAACTACAATAATCTTTTTGATTGAGGGAGGGATTGTATATCCCTAAAAACCTTACAAACACAAATATTAGGAAATAAAATTAAATAAAATATGTATAATAACTATTTTAAACAAAAAAATGTCTTAAAAGAATCACCTCGTAGTCTCGGTATTTCGATCTTGACCTCGGAGTCGTGGAATATCAATTCCCAGAAAACAATATTTCAATATTGAAAGCAATCTTATCTTAACATCGCATCACACAGACTTTGATACCCCATCCTATTTTCTATACCTTCTTTACTCGTGTGTAAACGATTGTGTGAAAAAAAGATGTGAAAGAGATGAGAATGTGATGGTAAAATAGTATTTTAATCTTGAAAGCAGTGTAACATGGCATCACACGAACTTTGATACTACATCCTATTTTCTATACCTTCTTTACCCGTGTGTAAGCAATTGTTTGAAAAAGTTGTGAAAGAGATGTGAATGTGATGGTAAAATAATGAATTGCGTATTTATAAACTACCAAATATATATCTTATTAAATAAAAAATGCTACCGTGAAAGGTAACGGTTCAAGCCACTAACGATGTCTTCCAAACGTGTGTATTTTTAATAACTTCACTCTCATGGTTTTACTGTATTTCTAATTAATTTCCATATGTTAAATGTGTTACTGCGTTGTGTTAATATATTTTATAACAAATAAAAATCGTATATTATTTTAGACTTTGTCAATATTTTTATAAAAAATAAAAATGTTATATTATTTTGGACTTTTGTTTAGTGTTGTTAAATATGTTTGACTGATTTACGTATTAAAAAATAAAATATTTTATGAACATACATAGATTTATATGTTTAAAATAATTAAATACCTATCATTTAACACTTAAATCATATTTTTATGTTATCGCGTATTACTAATAAATACAAAGATATTTACAAAATACTCTTTATATTATGTAATCTGCTACTTATTACATATATTGCATTTATATGTATAACACTATTTGTTTATTGGATTAATTTAATCGTGATCATATGTTTTAGATTTTTCAACTTGTTGTAGAAAATGAATAAAAAAAAATATTTACAAACATGATGTTATTTATTTATTCATTTATTACAAAGAATGTTTGTGTGATTTATTTTAGAACATTTTTTTTATCTAATTTCACTATTATTAGATTTAATTTGTATGTTTAGAAATGAAATGAAAAATATTATACAAACATGTTGTTATTTATTTATTTATTATAAAGAATATTTATGTGTTATTCATTGCACATGTTTTTAAAATATCTTATATCTAATTTCACTATTACTAGATTTAATATTTTTATCCAAAATTTAAGATAAAGATTTAATATTTATGTGCAAAATTTAAGATAAAAAAATATAAAATTCAGGCAAGAAGCATACGGACACTTATAATTATTTTTTTTATAAAATATAAATTATGAAAATTAGATAAATAATTTAAACTAAAATATTTTCTAAAAAATCTAATAAAATTTTATAAAAATACCCGTCAAGTACAAACGTTCAGTACTTTTAATTGTTTGTATTAAAAAAATTAGTCACAATATAAACACGTGTCAAATTGTTAAATAATGGGTATCGGGTAGTTAAACTAAATAAATATTAAAAAATAGGTGTTGGGTAGTTATCGATAAACTAAATGAATATTAAATAATGGGTGTTGGTTAGTTATCGATAAACTAAATAAATATTATTGAGGTAGTTAAAATTA